GGGTAATCGAGTATGGAGAACTCGAATCTGAGATTGATTTATTAAAATTAATTAGTTAATAATCAGTTAATAATTGATACTATTAATTTTCGAAAAAAGTTTGACCGAAGGGTAATCGAGTGCCAAGAATTCGAATGTGAGATTAATTTTAGTTAAAAATCAATAAATAATTAATTAGTATTATTAACCTTAAAGATAGTTCCAAGAAAGTTTTACCAGAGGGTAATTCGAGAATCGATTTTTAGAAAAAGACATTTCTGAAGGTTTTTCCATGCGGGGAGTTCGAATCTGAGGTCTGTTGGGTGGCTACAGTTAGAGGTGAGTGGGTGAGGATGGGTGAAACGTCAAAACAACATCGAAAACGGATTTTCAGGAAAAGACATTTCTAGAGGTATTTCGATGCGGGAAGTTCGAATCTGACGTCTATTGAGGGACCATGATGAGGTGGGTAGGTGAGGATGGGTGAAAGGTCAAAAAACATCGAAAATCAGTTTTTCACGATTTTCTTTTGTTCTTCCAGTAAATGTGAAGGAAATACCTTTCAACGAGAAAGAGCTAAGCGAGTCCTTGGATGAGCGTTACTTGTTGGTAATTTGGCGTTCGTTACAACGACGATCACGTGCTTCACGTTCGTTTAATGTATTTTTTATTTTACAGTTACAATCCTATCTACATAACTAAATGTATGTGCACTCAATTAAATCTATAATGTGATTTTGTGTATATACACACACACTTCAATATCATGTAGAAAAAAAAGAACGAGTGAAGAATATACACGCGCTTCATATGAAATAAAACCTTAAGCAACAATATTTATTAGACGAATTGATCAAATCATAACATAAGGACAACCTTAGAATTCGACAAAAAGTAATATATAATAGCCTTGGAACAAATTTTATAATAGATACACAAGTTTTATTTTTTTATTGATTATCTATGATCGAAACATTAGTAAATACTATCACTTCGGCTATGCAGTCCGCAGTTTTTCATGCACTAATTTTGTACATCTTGTCAAATAATCTCAAATTTCATATTTCCTCCAACATTTGAATTTATGCTTTGGGCTAAAACTAGACTATAAATTATTGAAGGATTCTTCATTATTGCGTATCTCTTAGTGAGATACGTGATGTGTAATCGATTCGTTTGCGTATGAAGGAAAAAAATCATGCACAAAAGTAATTATAGTCAATCATAACAAAAAAATATCTTTCGATCAGAAAAATAAAGGGGTGATCATAAAGTGCATCCAAAATATCCTTGTCAACCAAATAACAACAACAAGGCAAACAATAAAATTAAAATTTTTTAATATGAGAATTTTATCTATAAACCATATCGGTACGTAAAATAAATTGTGACGCTGTATATTTCAAAATAATTTATAGAGAATAAACAAGAATATTCTCAGACTGCCCATATGTAATGATAGATAAAGTTCTATTTTTTTAACAATACGATATTGAAAAGAATGAAAATAATAAATTCGATTTTTTAATTAGAAAATCGAAAGTGAACTGATATGGGCTCTATTAGAAACTCGGATTTATTTAGCAGTTTCAACATTTTCGAAAAATCTGAGAATTTACTAAGATTTTCTCTTTACAAGAGAAAAAGCTTCCAACAAAATAAATGATTATTTTCTATTTTAATACTAGTTTAAATAAATTAATCAACATTAAACGAATCGATGCATCAAATAAAATATGAGGTTTTGAAAAATTAAATTTGGATAGAGTTCAAGTCTTATGGACTACAGTCCTTTCATCAGTTTCTTTTTCCACAAAAACAGTGTACAACATGTCTGTTTTAATTAATTTGACTTCTCTGACTCTTAGATAGTCTTTTCATAGAATTTCATTTTGGCATATGTTGAAAAAAGCGACGTTAATCCTATTAAATGCAAATTTAAGTACCTAAAACAGCCATTGTGCATGAGTTTTTCTAGAAATACGAAACAACCAAAAACTTCCGTACACCAGTTAAAGGCTCTTCATATAAACCAAAACTTTGTGTATCTATCGACCGATCCTCTGAATAAATAATGGTTCACACAATTAAATTAAATAACAAAAAGATATTAAAAATTTATTTGAAAGAGACATAAGAAATAATATAAAATTTTCAAATTACGACTGATCGATCGATAGAGATCTTCAACGATTACAAAATGTCTATATTACTTTATTTTTGTTATCGTTATTCAACAAAAAATAGAAAACGATTTTTCAGTTTAGAAAGTTACCTCTCTTGAATCTATTGAATATTCTTGATTTTATATTATGGATTTGTTTGTGCATAATAATGTTTTATACTAAACTAGTAGAGAATTAAAAGGGCTATTTTTTGACTCGAATTTAAATTCTCCACGATTAAAACTAAGTGGAATATTCACGAAATAAAAATACATCATTTATTCTGGCCCACGCGTTATATATCCATTTGCAATTGTTGAAAATATTAATGCTTCACGTGTATTTTTTGCGCCATTCTAACACGCAAATCTCTTCTGCGCATTCAGGTAAGACGCCGCCTCATTCGAAAAGATGCGTCAAAATTTTCAAGGTAATGACGCAAGACTACTACTAGCTCGGAAGAATGAGCAAATTTTTCTAATCGGTATTGACGTAAAACGTTGACTAGTTCTAAAATATGCGCAAAAGCTTGACTAATGAGCAATAACGTCGTGGTAAAATATCGAAAACGAAAACAAAAAAATAGAAGAAGAGATGCGGAGAAGCTGCTGGTATATAATCCACAAATATTACTGATATTTTCACATTCGAAATCAAGCGTCTTACATACAATAAAAAAAGGTAAGCCGTGTTTTTATTCAATATTATTAAGTGTTTATGCGTAGTATAAATGAATAAGTTATTGATATCGCTACAAAAGTAGGGACAACTTATATCTTATTTGAGTTAGAGCTATCACATTACCATTACCGATAATCATCAATAATTTTTAACGTTATTATTATTACTGGCAAGATCAATAATTTTTGCAAATTAATAAATAATAAGGGTAATAAGTAATAAAAGAATTTTTTCGTAATAAGCAATAAAGTAATAAATACTATTTGTAATTACCAATAATAAGTCACAATATCACAAATAGTAATAAAGAAATAAGAAAGTAATAAGTAGTATTTTTTTATTATTTATTACTGGTAATAAAGTAATGAAATTTAAAAGATAATAAAAGTAATTGTAATAAAGTTACAACAAACTACTGGATATCTCGCTAATAAGAAACAACAATAGGTATAGCGCCACGGAAACAACAAAAAACAAAGCAAGTTATGATAATAAGTGATAAGTAATAAAATTAATAAAATTATTATCAGTTACCAAGTAATTGTAATAAAAAGTAGTAGTAATGTGACAGTCCTTATTTGAGTGACTATAGAATCATTTGAGAAAATTATAGAAAGTTTATATTTATCAAGTTTAATATAATATTTGCATATCACCACTTTTTTATGCGTACGTCATAATGATCGTAGTCTTTACTGAAGTTCATTTAGTTTCTCATATCCGATCAGTTTTGAATATTGGCTCTGGCCCAGACCAAGCCTTAAATTCTTCAAGCCCGTCCAACCCAACAATAACTAGAAAGATTTTTGTTTACAATTAATTAATTCATAAGAAATTCTGTTATATTACTACTGGAACGAACCATATGAATAGGATAACATTATTTGAATCATTCAATTTTTATGAATAATTTTATTAAATAAAACATTCATTTAATGCCAGGTTTAATAAAAATATAACACATACGTAGAGACGCAATCTAATACATAATTAGTATCTGTATCAATTCGTACAGAAGTTAATCTTCAAGACTGAGTTGAACGGCTCAAGTATATCTTGGGTTCGTTTAATTTCATTCAGCGGATGTAATGAGACTCACCTAGCCGAAAATATAGGGCGCTTGGCCCTAAGTTCCATCTTATTTTAAGTGAAATGTAGAGAGAGGTGGTGATCGTATAAATGATAGTATGAAAGAAGGCTATATTATAAATCGAAAGCAGAACACGGCAACAGTGTGGATGAAACCCCGATTACGGCATTCCCATATATAAAATGCGGAACAATGTAAGTCAAACTCGGCATGACGGTATAGCCTGAATGTAAGAAAGGGGGCTATAAATCTCAGTAAAAATAAAACGCGAGATAGAGCCACAGTCTGAATGTAATAAAAGGGTATAAGGCATCATGGAGAATGAAACGCAGGATAGCGCCACGGGTAAATACAAGGGTTGGGAAATAAGATATCAATGAGAATGAAACACAGCATAGCGCCATAGGGTGAATATAGGAAAGGGGTTATAAAATATCAGTGAGAATGAAACACGGCATGGTGCTATAGTGTGAATGTACGAGAGGGATTATAAGGCAATAGTGTTAATGTAATGGAGGAGGTATAACATGATGGTGTGAATGAAAGTAAGGAGTATACGGCAACAGTATTAATGAAAAGAGTATAAGACGATAATATGAATGAATTGGAGGATTTGAAGGCGATGTCAATAATTAATAGGGAGTGTGTGGGTTTGCGCTGTAGGATAAGTAAAAAGAATAAGTCTAGTCACGGTCACATTCACACCCTTGGTTCTGGTGCGTTGAGAGAATTTTTCCAGATCAGTTAGAACCACGAAATAGGGTATCATATTCTCGCTAAATCCAATAAATTTCTTCAAATCTTCATGAAGTTCGATGAGTTCTTGTAATTATCAAGATTAAGTGAAAGATTCATGTTTTTTGTATCTATCTGTTATTTCTCTTAGAGCCAAAACTTTTAAAAACTAGTGTTAAAAATAAATTGGAAATGGTTTAGCGAAGATTCCCTCTTATCACCATATTTTATCCATATAATCATCACTTATGATGAGACAATGTTAAAAAATTAAAACGTACTTTAAACACATAGAGATACTTCTAGTTTTCGTTATTTCAACTTCTGTAAAAATATTAAACGTTTTAATATGATATGGATATATGTGAGCATAGGATAAGAGGTGATTCATACCCACAGTCGTCCTAGATATTTATATACTAACTTGAACTAATCAATAATGTATATTGTCTTGTTTTAATCTAGGTACGAATTCAAATATGCCCAATATTCAAGGGGCAATGACTAATGAACAAGGTTTCCGGGCGTGGATGCGCCGACGGTGAGTGTCTGCTAACATTTTTCACACAATACACGGTGATTGGATTTTTTTGCAGCCGAGAGTGGCTGGGATGCCTACTTGCGAGTTGCTGTACCGCAAGTGGCCTGGTCACGATAGGTGCCGTCGTGGCTATCGCCTTGATTCCAATCTATCTCAGCACCCGAGATGCCACTGCAATCAATAACGGTGAGTGAATGGGAATAGTTTTATAGAACTTTTTATTTGTGTTTGTTCTTCATCATAGGAATGATATTAAGAGTGACATTCTTGACGAATTTTTCGGCACCACCAAACACTACTCGGCCAGTTTTTCTAGACATGCAAGGTTTTGCAGAACAGGTAAGCTTTAATCGTTCTAGAAATAGAAACAAGAATAGTAACGTTATTGATGTAGGGTTCTTGTGACGAGATGCAAAAGAGCTTTCGATAGATCATTTTGAGGTAAAGCGCATTCGTATGAGTAGTAGCCTATTCCGAGCATCATTTTTTTTTCGCCACCTCGTCAGCTCATAATTCATGTGCTATAGAAACATAACTTACACTTCTCTTAGTCTTCTTCGAGAGCTTCAAGCTTTCAACTCTGCTATGATGATCGCTGTATTCTTATCACTTTCATGAAGTAACGGACTCACAGAATGGATTGAAAGATATCTTGGCATAACCTACACGTATCTCTTTGATTTAATTTGTGAATGAGTTTCATAGAAATCTTATTATGTTATTGACCTATTCATATTTTCGTCAGTATAATTTTCATCATTCAAACGTGAAAAATACACTGTATTTCAGAATATTTAGGATTCAAAATATGATTTTGTTAGAATACATGCTGGAAGTATCAACAAAATAGTTTTTCTTTGTGTACATGCATATAAATCTGCCCACAAAGCTTAGTGTGATGTTTTAAACTTTATTCAACATGTAAATTTCTTTCTTTACAACAAAGTTCGAATAGAGAAACAGAGAAATAGTTAAAAAGATCAGTTATCCTTATCTCATCTGATATACTCATTTCGTAGACGATGCGCCGTGAAAATATTCATTGCAATATTTAACGGAGAATTACTTCTTAACATGTTTGACTCTTTATAGTGGCACATATATTGTTTAATAAAACAGTTATTCTGCTTATGATATATCATATTTTTGAGAACAATTTAATAGAAGATAGTCGAATATTACTCGATTTATCCAAATTCATTTTTTAGTGTTATTCAAATATAGATATTTTATATATAACTGAAACACACTTGAGTTGATGTATAGAGATGCTAGAATACTTCATCTTGATTCTTCAGATAGAGAGATGTTATAATCTGACATAAATCACTTAATCATGGTCAGAGTCTTTTCAAAAAGAAATGAAATTTGATTTTCAAAACCATTAGACTGACAAAATAATGTTTCTTCCAGAGTCAAAGAGACACAGATTCTTCGTCTTCGGCTCTGTTAACGAAGAATAACATTTTGTTGCTTCTTCTAGGTTCAAACGGCAGCTAATATCAAATATGGTACATTGATGACAAAATATATGCAATTCGCAAACGTACCAGCAAGTTGTCGACGCCGCGAGTAAGTGGCTTCTGTTTATAGAATAAGATTGAATGAATCTCTTTGAATCTTTGTTAGTGTATCTATAAGTGACATGAGCAACGATGCAGCACTGACCGGTGACTTCCTCCAGGTTGAGTTTTTGGTGTCAATTCCGAATCAATGTGGCGGCCTTATTCGAAGTAATTGTGCAACAGAGTCCTTCAGCAAAGTCACCAATGCTTTGGGTAGTCTTGGTGTATTCAATGCAATGATCCAAATCGAAGGGAGTGCACCATTTGACTTACTGCTCGGATTTTACTCATTGACAACTCAAATCACAAGTAAGTTTCTCTCCCTCCCTTCTTTGTGTGCTATTACCTTCGTCTTAGGAGAATATAGCATTTTTTCCTATTCGACTGTGATAGAACTCGATAAGCTCAGTCTACTTATAGCTTAAGATATTTCCAAATCTGTTCTGTTTGAAAAAAATGAATTTTCGTGAAAGAATATAGATAATGAGAATACTACAAGAACGCAGATTTCTGAGAAAATCGATTAAAGATGAGATCATCGATCGTTGGCGTGTTTTGGAATTAGAAACTGTGTATTTCCTTTGAAGGCTCCAACAAAGCTATTCATATCATCTCAGAAATGTTATTGAAAGTTACCAGAATTCTAGACACGCTGTATCTTTCGAGACATAATTCTAGAAACTAGAACACTCGAAGACTATGATTAGATTGACATCTTTGATGCTTTTATTCTCTTTTATAAAATACAGCGCTTCGCACCTTATAGCAGACGCCTGACAAGTATTATTATTGAGATGAAAACGGGCAACATTGCACTTGAGTAGAGCTAGGAGAATGTTACCTAGTAGCTCATTTTATTTTGAGAACAAGATTTTTTTCTCTTATTGTGATAAATACTCGAATCTCACCATATATAGTTATGTATAGACAAGTCTACTTTGAAACAGTGTGAATAATATTACTCATATTTCTATGTTTTTTTTAGCCGAAACATGTACTGACAACGTCCATAACCAAGATGAAACGAATGTCGACTGCGGTGGCCATATTTGCTCAGCATGTGCGGACACAAAGAGCTGTCTCGTAAATGCAGATTGTTCAAGCAACAACTGCAATGCAACAACAAAGACCTGCTTACGTAAGTCCACCAGTAAAAGAAAGCGTCGCATTCATTTTTTCTTTTTTGAAAAGTGTTAACTAGATCTAAATGTCCTTAGAATGAGCTATTTTTAATTTTTCAAAGACAATGCGTATTGCCTATTCTAAAATAATTAATCTGGCACATACAAAGGGTCTAATTATCTAATCGCTAAAATACTTTCAAAGTAGTTGAAAAAACTATTAATTAGTAAAGATCTTCGGGATCGTTCACTATTTTAAAAATTCACTAGAATATCAATCAACGAATTTATTCCATCTGCTTGGAAAAATCATCAACAATTTTTAATATCAAAGACTTGAGAAAACGTTCTATTCACGTTTCTTCAATGATTATTTATTAGAAGTTACTCTAAACCACTACCTCACTAGGTTTCTCAATTAACCAAGAAAATCCATTACCATCAATAAAAGTCCAATCAGCGCAATCCCTCGTTTTCTTAAAATGAAAAACTTCGATAGCTTCTAAATGAATTTAAAGCTTAAAAGGAAGGAGGTATATGTGGAGTGTGGACATGGATACTGTATATACCTAGCATCTATACCCGCACCCTCACCCACATCCTCTGCGAATTCAAAACATAATCACCACAACTTTACAAAAATATAATCAAACGGGTTATTCTACTCTCAACCTTCTTTAAACTGCCATATATTCACTACTTCAAACACAGCTTAAGCTCTTTTATTAATTTTTAGCCATGCAGTGCGACGTGTCAATCAATTGTAATGCTACGGGCGGGGTGTGGGTGTGGGTGTGAGTGTGGAGATAGTCTGAGTACTTGCTCTAGGAAGAGATCACCACACTCACACCCACACCCACACCCACACCCACACCCACACCCTTGTTTTCTCTTTCTCTCATTGTTTGCAGCTTCTCCGTGCACATCGAATCCCTGTACCGCGAATGGTGGTGGTGGTATCTGCACTGCAACAGGTGGTGGAGCAGCTCACTACACATGTGCAAATTGTTTGTATGGTCCACTAACGACTGATGTACCATGTGCCGGTAACTCATCCTTAACGAAGTGTTTTTAACCGATTGTTCTTTCTCTACCTCTTGTTATTTGCAGCTTCTCCGTGCACATCGAACCCCTGCACTGCAAATGGTGGCGGTGGTACTTGCGGTGCAACAGGTGGTGGAACACAAGGCTACACATGTACAAGTTGTACTTATGGCCCTGCCGCGGCAAATACAGCATGTCCAGGTAATTCATCTTTTACAAAGTCTCCTAAACCGCATGTTCTCTGTCTCTCTTTTCCTCTCATCATTTGTAGTTACTCCGTGCGCATCGGGTCCCTGTGCAGCAAATGGTGGCGGTGGTGGTACTTGCTCTGCAACGGGTGGTGGAGCAGCTCACTACACATGCGCCAATTGTTTGTATGGTCCACCAACGACTGATGTCCCATGTGCAGGTAACTGATCTTTACCAGAGCTTCTTAAACCGCATGTTGTTTCTCTTTCTCATTGTTCGTAGCTACTCCATGCGCATCGGGTCCCTGCACTGCAAATGGTGGTGGTGGTATTTGCTCTGCAACAGGTGGCGGATCAGCAGGCTATACATGCTCAAGTTGTACTTACGCAGCTGCAGCTGCCAATACCGCATGTCCAGGTAACTCACCTTTAGCGATCTCTCTTTTACCGCATGTTGTTTCTCTTTCCTTTTGTTTGCAGCTTCTCCGTGCACATCGAATCCGTGCAATCTGAATGGTGGTGGCATTTGCACTCCTATAGCTGTAACACCACCAGGCTACACATGCGCAAGTTGTGCGTATGGTCCAGCGACGACCACCGGAAGTAATCCATGTGCACGTATGTGATCTGTAACGAAGTGTCTCAGACCCCGCATTCTTTCTTTTATTGTTTTCAGCGAGTCCATGTACACCGAGCACCTGCACTGCAAATGATGCTCTAGCTACGTGCGCTCCAACGGCTGATGGAACTGCAAACTATCAATGCACTTGTAGATATGGCATTGTGGGCACAAATAAAGCATGTCCAGGTAACTGATATTTAATACAGTGTCTGAAATAGCGTGTTCTCTCTTTCTCTCATTGCTTTCAGCCAGTCCATGCACATCGAGCAGTTGCACTGCAAATGATGCTCTAGCCACCTGCGCTCCAACAGCTGATGGAACTGCACACTATCAATGTACTTGCAGATACGGCACTGTACTGACCAACACAGCATGTTCAGGTAACTGATCTTGAATCGAGTGTTTGAAACAGCTTGTTCCCTGTTTCTCTTATTGTTTTCAGCCAGTCCGTGCACATCGAGCACTTGCACTGCAAATGATGCTCTCGCTACGTGTGCTCCAACGGCTGACGGAACTGGAAACTATCAATGCACTTGTCGATATGGCACTGTAGGCACAAATAAAGCATGTCCAGGTAACTGATATTTAATGAAGTGTGTGAAAGAACGTGTTGTCTATTTCTCTTTTTGTTTGTAGCTAATCCGTGCACACCGAGCACCTGCACTGCAAATGATGCTCTAGCCACCTGCGCTCCAACGGCTGATGGAACTGGAAACTATCAATGCACTTGTAGATATGGCACTGTATTGACCAACATAGCATGTCCAGGTAACTGATCTTGAATCGAGTGTTTGAAACAGCTTGTTCCCTGTTTCTCTTATTGTTTTCAGCCAGTCCGTGCACATCGAGCACTTGCACTGCAAATGATGCTCTCGCTACGTGTGCTCCAACAGCTGACGAAACTGGAAACTATCAATGCACTTGTAGATATGGCACTGTAGGCACAAATAAAGCATGCCCAGGTAACTGATTTTGAAAGGAATAGCTGAAACAGCATGTTCTCTCTTTCTCTCATTGTTTGCAGCTTCACCGTGCAGTCCGAACTCGTGCAACTTGTATGGTGGTAGTGGTTCTTGTACGGCATCGGGTGGTGGAACGGCCAACTACGCATGCGCAAGTTGTACGGTTGCTCCTGCAACGACCAATAGTGTGCCATGCACAGGTTAGTGTGAAGAATCCGACTTTTAAGAAACGTGTTTGTTCTTATTTTATCGGTGTCGAGACACGTGTGCTATGTGATTAGATGAAGTTGTGATCCCTAGAGAAATAATCCGATTTTATTGAAATCGGTTTTGTGAAATTTTTAGGTTGTGAGTGCTCATTAACAGCAAGAGTGTAGAGTTCTAAGCAGTCTTTTCACATAAGATATATAGGTACCTAGACCGCGTAGATGCACTATGAGAAGAGATCTTTCTTAAAGCCGCTGTCGTGCAGAAGCTTTTTGAGAGTAACGCGCTCTATGGTTGATATTTTGGTGAGAGCTGTTTTAATGCAAAATTGTTAGCACGATTATACGTGAGAGAGTTCATACTTTGAACGTTCAAATGAGGTGCAGTAATGAACTGTGAGGGTGGCGCGTTGATATTGACTGACGTGTCTGAATGCCGTGCTATACTCAATAGCAGCATGTGCTTCGTCTCTGATTTGCAAGAAAACAATATAGAACAAAACTGTTTTTTCTTAAGGAAATTATTTACGAGGAGAGTCCTTGTGTTCTGCTTCCGAGAAGAAACTGGCAGACAGACAGATATGTCTTGAGCGAAAGAACTATTAGAAAGATGAGCATTTTAAACGGAGCTCTTGAAACTGTTCAGAGGTTTAGTACTAATGTCGAGCTGTCCTAAGTCCAATTATAATATATCATACTGTATCATGTGAACGTTTTATAGCGCTAATCATGGTTCTGAGTAGGACCTTATTTCGAAATAAGAAAAATGTACACTGACGTGCATCGGGTGTCACACATTGATGTTTTGTGTACTGTATTACAAGTAACGCGACGCAATCGCCGCTGACCCTCTACTGAAAGGATTCGATCGGATCGATTACCATCCTCACAATAAGATAAAGATTTGTTTTGGTTCATTAATCGAATCACTTGATCACTTCTCAAAAAGTCTTTCACTGTGACTCATTTGACGCACTTTAAACTCTCAAACTAACGTCTCGTCGTTCGTCGGCCTCCCTCCGGTCGGCCACTCACGACTAGCCGTTTTTATGGATACCTTCACTATATCCTTCACTTTTGACTCACTTTTGAGGGGAATAAATTGGTTTCCTTTCAGTGTTACTACAAAACGCGATAAGCTTCTGGTGATACGATTCCTAAAAAGAGACTGAAACGAGGAAGTACTGTTTTATAAATTGCTACGCATACAGCATATTCGTCTAGCATAGTCTTTCACATATTTGGAATGATGGTTATATATCTAATGTCGATGAAGATCCAACACCAGGGTCGCAATCAGATATCTCGCTTTCATTTACATTTTTCTGCTAAAATTATATCGAAAGACATGGTGTGTGATAGTCAACAACGGAAAAATCTTTGATTAAAACTGATACTGAGTTAATAACTTTTCTTCCGCTTACTTCAACTAGAGTTTCTATGATGTAATCATTACTAAATCTCTTAAATTTTCAAAAAGCCAACATCGGATTCATGTTCCACCACCCAACTACTTTTGATGAAACTCTATAAGAAAAAATTTTTTTATACAAAAAGTGGCTCATTATTTAAAAAATTGATATCTAAAAAGGTTTTAAAAAACTAACTTCAGATTCGAGTTCTACGACCCCGATTACCTTTGATCGAAGTTTATGAAAAAAAACGTTTTCGTAAAAAAATGACTTAGAAATTTTTGTAAATTATTAACCTCGGATTCGAGCTCCTCGACCCCGATTACCTTTGATCAAACTATATAAAGAAAAAATTATTTAAAAAAAATGGTTCTTTTTTGAAAAAATATTACTTAAAAAATTTTTGTAAGAAAGTAATCCTTTGTTAAAAAATATTACTCAAAAAATTTTTGTAAAAAGATGGTCCTTTGCTAAAAAAATTATTCAAAAAATTTTTGTAAAAAAACTGACTTAAAAATTTTTTTTAAAAAACTAACCTCAGATTCGAGTTCCTCGACCCTGATTATCCTTCGGTCAACCCTTATCGCAGGAAAGAATTTGAAGTTTTCTTCAACCAATCAGAGTGAGCGAACGAACGAACGAATTCACGAATTCACGAATTCACGAACGAACGAAGTTTGCTCATTCTGCGTAATACCCTCCTTTCAGTAGAGGGAACAAGATATGATACATGAGAGTCGCTTTATTAGAATGTGTGTTTCCCAATGATGAACGTTGTAAAGTCGAAACTTCGAGTCAGATGTACATTCAAAATAGATAATGTTTTCTACAAAACTTTTATATTGTGAAAAGAAGTTTCGATCTACACAATGTCAAATGTCTCTGACCGGGTGCAAAACTTGGCAATAAGAGAAAATGCGGAGCACGAGTTTGAGTTTTTTCAGTGAAATATAGAAGAAGAAGAAGACTTCTGCCTTTCGGCTATTTTTCACTATAGTATGTAGTCCGAGGACAGTTTTCTATGCCCAGTATTTAATCTACGACTATTGCTAGTGTTATGTTCTCGCTATTCTGATGTTTATCATCGAGCGACCGTTTATGCGAACTAGACTAGAGGTGGGTCACTCAACTTAATTACACTTAATTAAGTCACTCAATTTAGTTTTATTTTTTACAATGGCTACGTGACATATGAATATTTTAAAAACATCATGTATTACATAGTCATTATGAGAGAATAGTAGCGGAAGAACTAGAGTCAAATAAAAAGATAATATATGATTTTTTTCCGCTTTAAACTCCGTTCTTCCCAATATTTTGAAAATAGTTTTGTGGGAGGATAAAGATAGTTCAACATATCGATTCACCCAACTGTATACATATCCTTTTGTAAGTAAACAAATAAATACGATATAGTTATCAAGACTGACACTTCTGACTAGAATATAGTTATCCTACGTACGACTTTTATGCATGTGATTGAATACATTTTATATCTTTTATTCTCTTTATGTGCTCCATATTATTTTATATTCTTTTCGTCTTTTGTGCATTTTTATAATATTCCATTTTTGATATTTAATCGATACTCTATACCATATAATCCTACTGTTTATATTGACCTTCATACTTTTCTGTTAGATTGAATTATTCTTGACAACTTTATCTTAACTTTAGCTACCTTTCTTTGTGCTTCTTTTTATTTGCTGATCACTCTCTATTTTTCAGTGTACTTTTACAAGGGAACTTTCTGTCGTGTCCTCTCTCGTTGTAACTTATTTATATCTTATTCAAGCGAGCATACTGAGTTAGTAAAAACCATAGAAGAGTTTCGGTCCGTACTATTTGTATCAAATAGTATGAGCCAAATCACTCAATGTGTGATTGATTCGACAATATTCACTGAAAAATTAAAACTAGGGTTTCAATCTGAGATTTTGTC